GGCTTTCTCCTTCAAATGTATCGCTGCAGTCAAAGACAACCCTGATTTGATCTGGCTTCTGGTGATGATAGATTGGAAAGTGAGGAAGGTACCATGTTTGACTGGGTTGGAATTCGCGTGCGCTGTCTTCAACCTTGCTTGCATGTCCCTTGGAAATGATCTTTTCCATAAATTCTGAATAATCCTTAAACAACTTTGGATCTCTCTCAAACTTTCTTTTCAGAGACATCATCCTTCTGAGACAATGTGGACGATTATCTGGTAGATGGAGGGGGGTCTTATCTCTAAAGGGCAGCGGCATTTCCCAACGCCCGTCTGTATCTTTCTTGATTCCTTCTTCAAGGATCTGTAAGAACTTGCGGTCTTCGACAGAATGGATTGTGTTGTCTTCACGCTCTGCCTTTCTTTCGGAGTAGTCAAGCTCCATCATTCGTTGCACGTCCGAGGGTGTATAAATTTCTTTTGTCGTTGCACTATCACGTACAACGATTCTATTGATCTTGAATGCCTCGTCGCTGTCGTTTCCCTTGGGGCCTTTGCATACATCACCTATTATTGTCCATCCCAGGTCATAGCGTTCTGCCCATGGTTCGTCATCTTTCCCATTTACTACTTCTCTGGTTTTCATTGCTTGTGGGACATTTCGGCCGATCAGCAAGCCTATTTCTACTTTGCGTTGTTCTGGAATGTGTTTCGCGATGTCCTTCAGATGATCCCATTGACTAGCTGCTCTTCTTGTTGGGATATCACTGTCATCTGCTGGGAGGTCATCCCGGGTGTAGGCAGTGGATAAACGTATTGAGTTCTGGTGGTGGTAGTCTGAGACTTCTAGGTCCCGTACACGATAACTTGCGACAAGTTTGTCTTTGCTTAAGACTGTTGAGACTTTTATATTAGTAGGGGATGCTTCGATTCCGAGTCTCTCAAACACAGATTCCTTAACAAGGACCGCATTACTTTGGTCGTCCAGCAGGGCATAGGTGAGGACTTCTCTACCTGGGACGGATGGGTGACGAAGCCACACGAGTACAATCTTGGCACATGATTTGGTAGTCTGGTGTGAGCCACAAACTCGTGTGCATTTTGTGGCCGCCTTGGGTTCACTGGGATGTCGTTGTGGATCATGCAAAGCTGTTGCGTGTCTCTGGGCACATGTCGCACATTCAGGTTTTTTCTGGTCACATTTCTTCGCGATGTGATTCGTCGTTTCTAAGCAGTTGAAACATATTCGGTTTTCTCTCAGAAATGTCTTTCGATTATCAAAGTCCAATGCAAGAAAGTCTTTGCAGTCGTTAAGAGAGTGGTCGTCTTTCTGGCAGTGAAAACAGAACATCTTGCGCTGATGACTGCGGTCCTGAGATCTTTCTCCGAATGTCTCTGGGCTAAACTGGGTACTCTTGTCGTTTTTATTTCCTTGGTTTACTCGTGTACCAAAGACGCTAAAGTTCTTACTCGAGTTCCTTTTGGCTCTTTGGTTGTCGAACCCTTTTCTTCGGCTCTCTTCTTGTTTTGTGGTCATGCCAAATTCGGGCATATTGGCACGTCGGGCGAGCACCTTCACTGTCTCTGCAAAACGCGAGAAAGGGGGGAAACTTTCTTCACCGTTTATCTCTTTGTATTGCCAGACTTTCCGTTTCCATTCATTCTGTGCCCATCCAGGTAGTTTTTCTGCCAACTTAACTAGTTCTCTGGCACAATCGAAGAATTTTAGTGCGGTGTACTTATTCATGGCCGCCTCAACTTGATTCAGGAAGTCGCTAAAATGTAGAAGCTCGCGATTACTATCTCTTCCAATCTTGGGCCACTCGGTTTGCTTTTTGTCAATACTTGCGGTGAGAACGCTGGCGTTGCCATACCTGTATTTCAACTCCTCTCGAGCTCGACGATAAGCGGTATCAGCATCGTGGTGTAAGTCCTGATAATGTTCTACCATCTTCAGTGGTTCTCCTTTCAGAAACTTGCATAGGTAATGCAACATGGTCTTGGAGTCATTGGTGTTTGAAGCCACTAGGGCGTCAAAGGATGATTCCCAACGCAGAAATTCCATTTCGTCACCTTCAAATACCTTTGGTGTAAGTTTAGGCAATCTCTGGAGGGACAATGCTTCTAAAATAACTTTATTACTATCATACAGCTGCCTATTTTCAGGCACTGATGTGGTGGTGTGGGGTATCTGTTCGTTACCAGGCACCAAAATCTGTTGTTGGACTGGGGCTGAGCGTATGCTGTTTTGTGGAGGAATAAAAGGAGGTGCATTGTAGTTCATGGATTTATCAGGTGCTGACACATTTTGCGAAACTGGGAGGGGTGCTGGCGTTACATTATCTCGAGTTATTTTATTATTCAGGTTGTTATTACTTGTGGTTGGAGACGGAAATCTATTTTTAGGGAGGGCAGGAATTTGATCTTGGTCGTTTTCGGCTTCTTCGTAAACCTCTACTTCTGCTTCTGCTTCGGCTAATTGTTGCTTCATTTTCAATTTCTCTAAGTGGGCTTCATGTTTGGCTAGCAAATTTTTTTGTTCGATAATCTCCTCTTCTACTACAATTTTACTTCGGAGCGCGGCTACTTTCGCGCGGGCTTGCAGCTTTTTTTCTTGTATAGAAGAGGAAGTACGAAAAGAAGAAGTGGTTGATTTTCTGTCTTCCGGTAATGACACCTGGTGGTTAGACCGGATGTTGTCGATTTCATATTTTTGCATATTTAGAACTAACGAACCCTTCACATTGTTCCAGTCGTTCAAAACGCTTTGACACTCTGTAATATAGCTTTCACGCTGTTCGGGTTCAAGCAGTTTTAGTAATTCGTCCAAACCCTGATTAAATTCTTTGACTAAAGTCTCTAGTTGTTCAATTTCGTATGTAATACTCGATCCTTCTAGAGTGCTTACTTCCGTTTTAAGCGACGATAATTTATCAACTAGACAACACTTTGTTTGTTTGAATATATTTCTCTTTAAATCTAAAATGTATTCTTTACCTTTTTGGTTTAGTTTTCTCTCTCTAGTGCTTCGACGACACTCTGTGACTTCGCTTAAACTGTCTTGATCGCTGTGTGGTTTATTTTCGTGTCCGATTTCGATCACGTTTGTAAAGTTATTCTCGTTCAAAACGGGACTATTCTGGCCGGTTGGCTCTGTCGTTGCTTCATCTGCATGGGTTTCCATAACGTAGTTCTTGCTGTTTTGAGTCGCCGAGAAGATATTTCACTGTGCCAGCCCCACGGCTGTTTAGACTGGTTGTGGGGCCTCGAGTTTCAACGCGTTTCAAATAATTCTTAATTTATTTTCAATCAATAACGAACGGTGCTAAATACAAACACAAATATACAGGAATTACACGGATAAATACGAATTACTGAATACTGGACAGAAGCAGATATAAATACTGACAATCTACTTACAAATATCTATGACAGGACACTGGTATCTGGCGAAAAACGTAGGAACAAGTCAGCAACACAACAAAGCGCCCCAAAGTTCGATATCGCTAAGCTACTTCAATCTAAAAATGGCGCGAAAAACCCGGAAGTCCGTCAGCCGGAAGTCGCGGCTGCTACACCTGGGGTGAGGATTTTGACATTTTCCATCTTGCCGTTGCTATGGTTACCGAGATTAATTACCCCCTATGGTGAAAAATGGACACATTTGTAAACATGATATCTGAAGAAGTATGCAAGATAAAAACCTGAAATAACTTTTTTTTAATAGTTTAGAACATGGTCTAGGGAATAGGGACGCGTATTACGCGTTGGTGCGCGTGCACGTAAAACCGCGCTCTACAAAATTATTAAATTTGATCGTTTAAACCTTGGATAAGAAAGAACAACTTGGTACATTTTGTTGGGTAAAGACTTAATCCCTGGATATCTGGTATTTGTTTGGATAAATTTGTTTTGCTTTGGACAAAATTGGCAAAACAATTATCGGTTTATTGGGAATTTTTGTTTAACGAGAGGACGGAAAATTCGTTGGAAACTAGGACGCGCGTACAATCACGCCACATTCTGCTGACGTCGTTTGAATTCTTAACGTTTTTAGTGCAAGTCATCTGAAAGTCAAATTACTTTTAGAACACAATTAGCGAGCGAAGTTAAGTCAATTATCAACTGAAAATGGTTCTAATCAATCGTAAACTACTTAAACTGGTATTCTGGCCTCTCATTTTCGTCTTGATTGTTATTTGGACATCTTCAAGTTCAAAGATACATGGAGATTCCTTTGGTTATGCGGAATCAAACTTATCCTATGGTTCCTATGGTGCCGATTTTGGCAATTTCAAGCGAGCATCACAAGCAAAAGATCCGCCTGGTATCACGAACAAATCACTTACCCGTAACAAATTTGTCGTGTTTGTACTTCATGACACACTATTATTCAAGATCAAGCGGCGATACAAGTTCCTGGCAGCAAGGTTTAGATACTACCCTAACACTGACGCCTCATTCAACGTAGAAAGGAACCCTGGACCAACTACTTCTGATGAAAATAACTGGAAGAAGCCACCAACGGTGCGCAATAATTCTGCGAAAGTTATATCCAACACATCGAATTCTTGCAAGACCAAAGATAACCATGCAACGTTTTCTTTCCGTTGTTTGAGTTGGAACTGCCGCAGTCTATTCAGTTGGCACAAATTACCCGACGGAGAAACATGGTCAAACCATACAAACTTTCTGGATTTAGCATACTCTGAACCACTTGACATGATCTTTCTCACCGAAACCTGGTTGTCTGACAAACATCTCGACAAAGAAATTCTTCCTCATAACTACGACGTATTTCGTGTCGATCGAAAACATAAAACTGGAGGTGGTGTTCTTATCGCTATTAAGGAATTCTCTTTTACTGAAGTTAAACAAGTGGCCATTGATCAATACCCTGATCTTGAAATCGTTTGCGTTGAGTGTAGTACGGGCAAAGACAAGCAGACTCTTGTAGCTTGCTGCTACAGACCTCCAAATTCTACCCAGAATTGGTTTCTCTCTTTTAAAGAGTTCTTGAAGTGGGCTGGCCGTGCGTACGAGAAAATAATCATCACCGGTGATTTTAACTTTCCTAAAATCTCGTGGTCTGAAAGTGCTGTAATACCTGGTGGAGAACCTGAATATCTCTTTTACAATACATTGTCCGATCATTATCTTAGTCAACTGGTTTACATTCCAACAAGAGAACAGAACACTCTTGATCTTCTCCTCACAAATATGCCTGACAACATTGCTAATGTCGATATCATTGACTCCTCTACATATAATTTATTCTCGGATCACAAATGCATTCTCTTTGAATTCACGCAAAAATTACCAGCTTCTCGCAAGATCAGAAGAACAACTTACGATTACAAACGTGCGGACTTTGAAGGAATGAACAGGGCTCTGGAGACGTTCGAGTTTGATTGGATGACAAATAATTCCACCTCTGACATTAACGACGATTGGACTTGCTGGAGAGATAGTTTTCTCACAATCGCTGACAACTACATTCCTCAGAAGACCATCAAAGGAAAGTTTAATCCACCATGGATTACTGGTGAAATATTGAATGTGCTCAAAAAGAAAGAAACGGTTCGCCGAAAACTGCGACGCACCATCAAGACTTGTGCAGACTCGATCACGGAAAAGTATAAATCACTTCGAAATACAGCCAAGAAGTTAATTAAGGACAGTCGAGAAAATTTTTTTGCTTCAATGAGCAAGTCTCTGTATTCCAACCCAAAACGCTTCTGGTCCTTCTTCAAAACAACCACTAAGTTTTGCAGAATACCACAACAAGTGTCTTCTGCAAATGGTACAAATTCATTGCGTACCAGTTCAAGCAACGCACAAGAAACAGCTAACCTTTTCAATTATTATTTCAATTCGGTGTTTTTAAAAGAGTCTGATGAGAACTACAATCCAGTTCCACCTGTTTCCAATGAATCCATCACAGAGATCATCCTTGAACAGTGCGAAGTTCGCAATGCACTCAACAGTCTGAATCCCAATAAAGCCTTTGGTCCTGACAACATACCCACACGTTTATTGAAGGAATGTGCTTCTAGTATCGCTCCATCACTAACATATTTGTTCAATAAATCGCTAAACTCTGGCAATCTACCGACGGAATGGAAGCTCTCTAATATCGTTCCACTACACAAAAAGGGTAACAAAAGCTACGTTGAGAATTACAGACCCATCTCACTGATGTGTGTGGTTGCGAAGGTTCTCGAGCGCTGCATTTATAATCGATTGGTAGATCACATTCAGAAAATGTTATCGGATGAACAGCATGGATTTCTAAGAGGAAAATCATGTGTTGGCCAACTGCTTTCCGTTCTTGATCGCATCGGCAAAAACCTTGACATGGGATTGCAAACCGATATCTTGTATCTGGATATTGCCAAAGCGTTTGACACCGTCGACCACAAACTACTTCTTCAGAAACTCTTTCATTTCGGTGTCGCGGACAAAGTTTTAAACTGGTTTTCTAACTACCTTTCAGAGCGACAACAGCGTGTGTTAGTTCACGGTGCAACATCAGATTCCCTCCCAGTAACGTCTGGCGTCCCTCAAGGGTCGATCCTTGGTCCATTGTTATTCTTAATTTACGTCAATGATCTTCCTTCGTCAGTGTCTTCACCATCTGTAAACGTTTCTCTATTTGCTGACGACACAAAATGCTTTTCAACCATTGAGTCCCTAAGCGATGCAAGGAACCTAAACACGGAATTTAAAAATGTGCAGAACTGGGCGCATAGTTGGCGACTGAATTTCAATGCAGAGAAATGCAAAGTCCTTAGTATCACCAGAAAACGCTACCCAATCGTTGCTGAATACGTCATCGATGCCCGAGCTTTGCAACACGTTCCCAGTCAGAAAGACCTTGGAGGCAACACGTTCCCAGTCAGAAAGACCTTACATGGTCTATCCACATACACGAGAAGATTACCAAAGCGAACCGTATGCTTGGCATGCTGAAACGTTCGACAGTTCATGTTAGAGATGCAAGCACTAGACGTAGTTTATATCTGGCATTAGTCCGATCTCATCTGGCCTATGCGTCACAGGTATGGAGCCCACAAACCGTAAGCATGTGTGGTGAATTGGAAAATGTTCAAAGGAGGGCAACTAAATTCATCTTGGCTTTACCTTTTGAAACTGACACTTGCTATAAATCAAGATTGCTGGCCTTAAACTTGTTACCACTGGGCTACTGGCACGAATATATGGACGTTCTCCTTTTATTCAAACTTACACGTGGATTTATTTCATCTGACCTCAATATCCTCCCAGAACAAAACAACAAATTAAGGATGAACCTACGGTCACAAAATACCACCCTCGTGACATATCATATACCAAAAACTAAGACACTCTGCTATCAGAACAGTTATGCTGTTAGAGCTTCACGGATATGGAACACTCTTCCCGATGAATTACGTCTACCAGAGATTTCATACCATCGATTTAAATCCCTCCTTTCCCAATATTACCTTACTGCCACCAAGACCACCTTCGACAAAGATCACCCCAAGTCATGGAAAACGATATGTCCCAAGTGCCATCTAGCAAGATCATTAAAAACGTTCAAGAACTGTTGTTTCTAGGACTAGCCTTGATGGCTAATGTGGACTTTGAACTGTAATTATATGTAAATAGATAGATGTGTTGTGTACGTTTCGAGTTCGAGTGGATGTATTGTTAGTACTGTCTGTAGAACCAGGGCATCAACGTAATTGGTTGACGCTGTGTTGATGTACCTGCGCCGTTGTCGTTGTATAAATTTTTGGCGGCAAAGTTTATAAATAAATAAATAAAACTACACTTACATTGATGGAGCCAATAATACATTTTTTACAGCCAAAATATTGAAAATGGAGGACATCGGTATGACCTTGACTATCATATTTTTTGTACTATTGCAGATATTGCTATGATTGTAGTTCATTCCCAAGAGTATAAAATACAGAAGCTACAGTGAAAATTTGAAGTTAATAGCTGAAATACTTTTTAAGATATTGTGCATGCAATATCAGTCATTGGCCATTTTCGGATATTTGAGAAAAACAGCTTTAAAGTTTAACATACACATTTTAAGAGTGATAATCATCAAGGATTGATGAAGAAAGTCAGGAGTGGCCAAGATCAAAGTTAAAAGGCTCCTGCCTCATATGTATTCCCCTCTGCTTCCTTGTTTTTGTCTTCTTTGTTCTTTTTATGCCCTCGAAGGACCTTTCTCTTCTTCTTGACTTCAGGCGTAGCTCGATAATCCGCTTTCTTGATGCGCTTTTTGTCTGCTTGGCAAATACCCTCTTCAAAGTGGAAGCCTGGATTTAATCCCTCTTCTTGCAGAATGTTAATAGCAGCCCTTGAACCCATGTTAAAATGAGCCACTGCATCATATACACCCAATTCCAGAACAGTTGCACCCACAAAAGTACTCTTTGGAAGCCTGTTCCAAATCATACCGTTGAAGGACTCGTTCTGGTTTTGGGTTTTGCCATCTAAACATTTGCTCAACAAAGCATCGTTGCTCAGTCTACAATAAATAGGTTTGACAAGACTAATGATGTTATCTGGCAGACCAGGTCCAGGCTTGTACAAATTAGTGTTATTAGCCTTGTCTTGTTTATAACGGCACCAGCTATCTGGACCATCAGGACAGTAATTGTGGAGTTTACGCTTCTCTGAAGACACACAATGAAAAAGGCTAGCATAAATTGCCGACTTCATCCCATTCAAATCTCCACAATTACTCCTGATGGCAATTCCATAATAGTTCTGTAGTTTATCAATTAGGCTGTCAGTTAGTTTTCCTTTTCCCCCGATACCTTTGTTCTCTTTTTTTAGCTTCCGAAGAGCTGTTCCGACACGCTTTTGGACATGACCAACACATTCCTTCTTTTCAACCTGAACATTATCATATACATGCTCAATCTCTGAATATGCTTTGCTGTCCCCATCACCAAAATACTCTGTATACTGTAGTTGCCGGGTGGTTTCACTTCGGCCAAAAATCCTTTTGATGCCCTCAGTCTCCATAGCTGGTGAGGATCCTTTGTAATTTATCTTACATGAATGCTTTTCTACCATATCAGCTTTCTTAGAAGCATCCTTCTGTCTGGCAATTCTTTGGCACCCATGACAAACTTTGGTCAAGACTTCCACATCCAAGCACTTTCCAGTGTCAATAGATAATGTGGTGACGCAGCCATGAAGAGACGAATATCCTCGTCGCTGCCAGGTTCCATCACACGAGACACCGCAACGGGTTAACGAGCCTGGATTTTCACCTCGGACCTCAACAGCTGCATCATTCATGGCCCTCATGGCAACAGACTTGGCTGCTTTTGATAGAGCAGTGTTACATTTTCTGTATGCTTCGAAGTGCATCGGTGGTGGCATGTTCATGTAGGTACAGAACCTTTTCATGGATGCATGTCCTTTACCAATAGATCTCATAGCATACACAAATCTTTTATTTACCTCAAAGGATTTATTTATCTTCTTTGATGAATAAAACGTGAAAACCCAACCACATTCCTTGCATCGCAAGCGGAGATGAGATGCACTACCCTTACGCTCAAATGATTTGTCTTCGAACACGAAGGACGATGACTCACCACATTCTTTACAAGCCACTTGCTGAAAAACTTCAGTAAGGATTTCCATGTCAATGAAACGATATCCCGTTATATCTGGCATTTCTTTAGTGGCATTAATAGGCGATTCTCTGACGCCAATTTTACGCGAGGAAGCTGACAGTTGCATTGGAAGTTGATTGACCACCAGCATTATCTTCGTTTACACAACTTTCGTTCGTCTCGTTGGTACGACGTTTCTTCACAATTTTATCGAATCTATTTCCATGGAATTTACGTTTTTTTGCCCTTGACTTCTCTCTTACCATTATAACAATAAAACGATTGAAGATTATTAAAAAATAACAAAAATATCGTTGTAAAATCACGAAGGAGATTGGGAAAATTTCATCGTTGCAGTTTTAGAAATAGAAAGGCCTGCAATGACAGAGGAACGATGCCAGCGGCAAGGATCGGCTCTCCAAAGCTTGTTCTTCATGTTAGAAAAATAAAAATGTTCATTTTGTAAATTTACAAGCAATTTTGCCTCGATTTCAAACAACAAACTTTCGTTGCTAAGGCCGTTGCTATGTTTGAAATTTTCACTGTTCTTTATATTTTATATTTTTTCTCCAACTTACCGTGAAGTTTTTCCTAAAAAAAGCTTGAGAGGTGTTTCATAAGGCTTCAAAGGACCTAATTCTAAGTTTTTTGAAAATTTATAAATTTCATCTATCTACCGAAAATTTTTGTAGTGGACCACCTTAACTATGTTTCTGTTATGTCTATATGACATTGTATGTGTGTAAAACTGCCTTTCTACTAATTAAAAAGCAATATTTTACATCTTTCTACCATAAAAAGTATTAAAAGTCGGTGACAGCGTTAGACTATATTGACTATATTGAAATTTAAGAGTGTATCAGTGTTTGTAAAGCCGAAATTTCCTTCAAAATGGGAGCGACAAGGGGTCACGTGGACAAGAAAGAATATAATGACGTCAAAGTGAGAATATTTCATTTTTTACACGTTTCTCTCTGTGAAATAGCCAATCTATTTGATTCATCTTCAAAAGTATAACAATTTTACAAGATTTTACCACTGAGGATTTTACAAGTGAGTGACACGCAGGAGAATTTATATACTCGTCACTCGTGCACTCGGCTATCTTGAAACTGGAAGCTGCAAAAGTTATAGGTATGTTGTTTTATATAACCTGGCACTTTCGCTTTCATATAAATTGGTACATTTTCACATTATAAAGCACTTTGCGGGTCTTTGCCACACAAAATCGCCGGCAAATTAGCATAGTTGAACTACCTGGCGATTGAAAAAGCTCACGCTTTTCAACCAAGACATATACGTGACTTAAACAAATTATGACAGCTAGATGATTGGGATCAGACGACCTGGTTTCTCTTCTGTTGTTATTGGGTGAAGACTGTCTTAAATTATTGTCAATGGTCAATATGATGCCATGCGTTCGTTTGTAGAAGGTTACCATATCTTGAAATTCATGCCAGTAGCACAAAAAAGGTCTAAAAGTGCAAGTCTCTGGTTGTAGGTTGTGTCAGTGGTGTCACAACGGAAGGGCAGATTTAGAATGTACTTTGTTTCAAGTCTTTCCACGCGTTTGATTAATTTATAAGGTCACTGATTACGGTGCCCAAATTTGAGGTCCATAGCAGAGCTTGGAACGAACAAGACATAAATATAGTCTGCAACGAACCATGATATTTTTGATATTTAAGGTTGATCTTCAGACATATCCCAGCATTTTGGTGGCTTAAATTTGTTGCACAGGTGGTCAACTTGTTTAGACCAAGTTTTGGGGTACTAGCCTTTTATAGCTCCTGTGAAACGTCTGATAGGTCCTGAAGCTAAGGAAAATTTCATTGAGTACAATGCAATGTAAATACTTAGGTAATTCTGACCACAACGTATTAGTAGGTCTTTAAAGATGCTGTAAAGTCCGTTCTGTTCATATATTCTGCGCATCAACACATTCCATCAGTGGGGGAGCAATCTTTGGAATGTTGTTAATATTTCGCAACTTCCGAACTTTCTTGAATTGAATCTCTAGTCTGCATTCATATTATACAAATAATGAATGTTTATGAGTGCAATGGCAAGAATATTTTCATGAGGTGAAAGATGGAATGTTTCATTCAACGAGGCGACAGCCGAGTTGAATGGAACATTCCATCTTTCACCGAATGAAATATTCTTACCATTGCATGAATAAAAACATTCATTATTTGTTTTTTATATAATACCTTATTAAATTCTAATCGTTTAATTGGCTGTTTATGGTCACGTGATATTGAATAGAAAATTCCATTTCCCAAGAGTGCAATGGAACACGTTCCATTGCACTCTCCGCGAGTGCAATGGAATAAAACGTATAGTACAATTGCACTCTTTGTGTTTTAGATAAATCGCATCCCTCAAAATGCTTCTCATACGAATCTATTAGTCTGTTCTGGACTTTTGGTATTATATAAAACAAATAATGAATGTTTCTTCGTGCAATGGTAAGAATATTTTCATTCGGTGAAAGATGGAATGTTCGGGTCCATTCAACTCGGCTGTCGCCTCGTTGAATGGAACATTCCATCTTTCACCTCATGAAAATATTCTTACCATTGCATTCAACTCGGCTGTCGCCTCGTTGAATGGAACATTCCATCTTTCACCTCATGAAAATATTCTTACCATTGCACTCATAAACATTCATTATTTGTATAATATAATACCAAAACAGACAAATATTAAAAGGTTTACTGTAAGCTCCCGCCATTTTGACGAGTCGTATTTGCATTAAATCCCATTCCCATTTACTGAGTTTCGAATATCGGGTTAAAATAAACAGCGATCACCGTACGAGAAGCATTTTAACGGATGCGATTTATCGAAAACACAAAGAGTGCAATGGAATAAAACGTATAGTACAATTGCACTCGCAAGAGTGCAATGGAACGTATTCCATTGCACTCTTGGGAAATGGAATTTTCTATTCAATATCATGTGATCATAAACAGCCAATTAAACGATCAGAATTCAATAAGGTATTATATAAAATATAATATATATCTAATCATATTTTACAACTGTAGCACTGAGTTCAAAATGTAAACATGTAAACAAAATGTTTACATTACGGACTTTACATCACCTTTAAAGGAGTGTTCATTATTTATGGCTTGGGGGGGAGGGAGTGAAATCATTTGGTGTTTGTTTTTGGGGGGTCACCAGAGTTTGAAAAGTAATTGAGGAGGGGGTCATGAAAGTTTTAGTTCTGGCAATTTTTGACCTCTTTAATTAAAATGTGTTCTCACACACAGCTGAGGGATACTGCACACACAAGCACAGCCTGACCTTTAATCAACAAAAATATCTCATATTTACAATAAATGGATCCGTACAAATAACTGCAACTTCAACTAATTATCACATGTTAATAACTTAGGCACTACCTGCCAATATGGTGGGTCGGTATTGCGGGTGGTGTATTGTATTGGGTGGACCACAGACCAGGCTAGCTTCTGTTCGCAGGCTACCGGCTAGCATGAGGCAAGCAAAAAAGTGACTCTGATGACCTTGACCCCCCCTGCCTTGACCCAGTCCCCCAGCAGTGTGTGAGAAAAATATTTTCTGCCTCTTTCATTCCTTAGCCAGCAGAAAATAACACTTATTACAGAACATGAAAATTTTGAATTATTACTATTGTTCCCAGTAAACTGCGAAACGACCGTTTTGTTAGGCACTTTGTCAGTGACAGTTTTGTCCATTACGAAGGACATATTTGTGTACCTTGTGATCACAATTCGTTGCAAGCGGCGTGTGAAAAACTAAAAGTTTCAGTTTGACAGTTCTGACAGTTGAATGGTTTCTAATTTTATTGTCCAATCAGGTGCCTAGTTTTGATTTAAAATTCAAAACTATGCATCTGATTGGACAATAACATTAGCAACTCATTTAACTGTCAAACTGAAACTTGCAGTTTTTCACCATAGATATATACATGCCGTTTGCAATGAATTGTGATCACAAGGTACACAAAACTGTCACTGACAAAGCACCTAAAAAAACGGTTGTTTCGCAGTTTACTGGGAACAATAGTACATGGCCACAAGTTTACAGGAGCTTTTGCACTATTACTAACGTCATAAAATAAAAACTTTTTAATTAACTGATATTGTACATACCATATTTATACACTTGTACTGTATTTTATGTAAAATGGGGGTGGGGTCACAAAATTTTTTGGTCTTTTCTTGGGGAGAGGGGGGGGGGTCATGTCAGTTTTGCTGACATTGCCAGAGGGGGGTCATGTAGATATTGAGAGGGAGGTGTGAAATGCCAATCCCCCCTCAAACCATAATACTGTAATGAACACTCCCTAAGTTAGAAATTGTTTGTGTATGTTTTTAAAAGTACGCCTCATCTTTGGACGGTATAAATCGGGTAAAATATGCATTTTTAAAAATAAATTATTTCAAAAATATGTTCTGAGAATTAAATTAATCCTACATTGTTCCGAACAGGCTTGTGGCATGCTTGTCAACAACAAATTGTAATGAATCATTGCATTGAATTAGTTTCAGGATAAAAACTTGGTGGAACAACTTGTAACAAGTCTGCCGGAGTCAACAGCATTGTCACAAGTTATCAACAATCTCAGGCAGTGTGAACACAATCCTTATAACAAAGTTGTTGAAACAGAATTGATACAAGTCTGCTACTAAGGTTTGTTGCAAGTTGTGTGTTTTTATGTGTACAAGTGTGCAAACAAATTAGCAGAGAAAATTGCAAACGTCTAAACTATAATGAAGGAAAAATGCATACATAGTTCTTCTGAAATTACTGTGGTTAGTGAGAAACTTTGTGCACTATAGAATTAAAACCAACTCAGGGAACCACCATAAGTTTTGTGCTTATTATTCCAGGACCAATCAAGAACACACAAAGCAAGGTACTACAGCAGGAAATGGCCACAGAAGATGATACAAATGTGTTTGCCAAGCCATGGAAACATAGTGACTTAGTGTTAATTGTTGATGGTAAAGAACTCCATGTCCATAAATCGATTCTTGAAATGCAATCGCCTGTATTTGACATGATGTTGAATGGAGATTTTAAGGAAGGAAGCAATGACAACATTCCTCTTGAAGGTGATAATTTTGAGTTAATGGTGCAGTTTTTGAAATTGCTTTATCCATCTTCCATGTTTAGAGAAGTTAGATCCTTGAAGGGTGAAAATTTGTTATCAATACTCATGCTTGCTGATAAGTATCAGTGTGTGAACTTTATTAGAGAGTGTATTGATGAAGCAAAAATTACACAAGATACAGTTTTGTATCTTTTGTATCATGTGGGTATATATCACAAGTCAGCACTGAATAAGCTGTTTGATGTTGTTAACAATAACATTTCAACAGAGGAGCTGGAAGCATTCATCTACTCAAATCAGACAGACGACAAAACAAAGAACTCGCTTATTGTCCAGATGCTTTTGTGCAAGTGTCGTTTTCTGGAACCAGCAAGCATACTATGATAAATTACTAGCTGTTATAAACACATAAGCTTCGTTGGCAGGGATGCAACTACCTGAAAAATATAAGGAGGATTCCGACGTTTCAAGCGAAGGACCTTCGTCTGGAGTTACTAGCCTTCGCTCCAGACCAGGCTCCAGACGAAGGGCCTTCGCTCAAAACGTTGAAATTCTCCTTATATTTTTTAGGTAGACATCCCTACCAACGAAAACTTGTTTATTTGATTGGCACTATACCTACACTGGCAAAGACAGTTCAAGATTATATCTGTTGTAAATACTTCCATTTCTTCATACCATTCTACAAGTCCTTCGTACCTGTAGGCCAACGGTTTTCAACTGGTTTTCTCATGTGTCCCCGATTTCACGTGATTGAATTACCACGTCCCCTGAACAGAAATTGCCCACTGAAGTCTATCAAAAACACGAATTTCGAAATAGTTAGTAAAATAGTAAATGATTTAAATTTTAAATAATAGATAGAAAGTCAAGCAAACATGTTTATAGTACAAACTATTGTATTCAACTATTGTATTCAACTATTGCTTTCTCAGTCCTAGACCAGTTTGTGTCCCCTAGGAATTTGCCAAATGTCCCCTCTCGGGGACATACACATATACCCACTAGAAGCTCATCCTAGACTCCTAGTGTTATCCATAACTGTGAATTCCTCAATATGGATATGTCACATGACATAAACTAACCCAGTAACCTTGAGTATAGTGCAGTGAACTGGTATAGTGTATCCATGGATTGTAAAGAGGGTCCTGAAGGGGGGGTCCCAATCCCATTTCCCACCTGAAATTTTGGCAAAATCCCTGCAGTTGGATTTTTTTTAGAAATCCCAGTCCCAGTTATTGAAATCCCAGTCAATAAAAAACCCTTTATTTATCGGTAGAATAAACAGTTTTAAGACCTTTTAAGTAAGTGGCGGACACTTTATGAAATATTAGGGGGTGCTCGTGCCAAAGGCACGGAAAATTTTTAAATTTGAATCCCGGAAATGGCATTTGCAGCATTCTGAGACACGCATAATCAGAAAACCCAGAATTGCGGGCGCCAGAGTATGCCTGTTCGCAGGTAGCGCTGTGATTAACATAGTTAACAACAAAAATCATGACCAAAGACACCAAAAACGGATCAAAATTGTATTTTAAAATACTCAAAACGCAGAAAAATTGGGAATCGACTCGCATTACCTCAATCCCATTCCCATTTTTGAGGACTTCACTTCCCATTCCCAGTGGCCAAATCCCAGTCCCAGCAACCCAAATCCCATTTTCCCAGTCTAAAAATAGATCAATCCCAGTTCCCATTTTACCCCTTCAGGACCCTCTGTAAAAGAACTTCTTTGGATTGTAAAAGAAATTCTACAATCCATGGTGTATCTAGATAGCTACTTGAGTCCGTGTTGAGACTAGTTGAGTAAGATATGGTAAGACTATAGACATAATGTATCTGAGACACAGAATAAGAAGGTACAGATTCTGTGTCTGTCTGTCTGAGATAAGAGCAGAAAAATTTTTAATTTTGGGGGACACTTTCTTTGGGAGCTTGGTAACCGCGCCTGTTATGATGCAATACAGGAAGCCTATACAGCAGGAAATAGATTGCGGTCGATTGCATACTTTGACGCAACTAATATATTGTATACTTATTCAGATAACCGCGACGGTTTTGACGCATTATTCACGGTTACCAAGCCTCCCACGGAAAGTGATCCCCCCCAAAATTTCTGCTATCTGAGATTCCTTGGAATCCGTGATAACGAACTGAATTGGTTTGAGGATACACGGTTAACTATTAACCGTGATTCCATATGATACATTCAAGTTGGAGTGAACAGTGCATTATCCCTGTTCATCTATTCATTTCCTGTGAATTAATTAGTAAATAATTTGTAATGACATTCCCACAGTAGATACCAAGCTGATTTCTCTGAAAGATAGGAGATCTATGCATCTAGCAATTTTTACATTTAAACATTAAAATATATATATATATATATATATATAAATAAAAATATATATATATATATATATATATATATATATATATATATATATATATATATATATATATAAGTTAATCACTAACACATATTTTTTGACGTTTCGACTTTATTGTCTTCTTCCAAGTAAAAATCGTTAACATAAACCCCTACTTATATACCCTACCAGACGAACATAATTATTCATACTCCTCAGAATCCTGTTCAATGTTCAACCCCGAGGGGTACATTGTCATAAGTCTATTAATCCAGTACATTTCCCTAATCGTTGGTTCTGCTGGGTTGGTTTTATCAATTATGACTATATCACAGTCATTCATTAAGCCATTATGGTTTTCACCTAAGAAATGCGAATGAAAAAAGGCTTGTGCACCTAACCGACACTTTTAGGTGCACAGCTGATGGTAAACAATACAAAGTGAACCATCATTTAA